TAACTCTGGGAGTTCAGTGACGGCCTCTAAACTCAAACTTAATTATGAGCACCGTATAACTCTGGGAGTTCAGGGACGGTCTCGAAACACAAACTTAATTATGAGCACCGTATAACTCTGGGAGTTCAGTGACGGCCTCTAAACACAAACTTAATTATGAGCACCGTATAACTCTGGGAGTTCAGGGACGGTCTCGAAACACAAACTTAATTATGAGCACCGTATAACTCTGGGAGTTCAGTGACGGCCTCTAAACACAAACTTAATTATGAGCACCGTATAACTCTGGGAGTTCAGGGACGGTCTCGAAACACAAACTTAATTATGAGCACCGTATAACTCTGGGAGTTCAGTGACGGTCTCGAAACACAAATTTGGGCACCGTATAACTGCAAGTTCAGGGACGGTCTCCAAACACAAACTAAATACTTGAGCACCGTATAACTGCAAGTTCAGGGACGGTGTTGCGTGTCACTTCTAAATTAAATTTAACACGGCAAAAAAAACAGACTCACTATCGTCTAATTCCAACAATTGTTGAAAGTCATCTGGAGCCCATGCTATGGGCCACCGGCATAACTACCGGAACGTTTAAGACTTTTTTTTGTGTCCCAATCTTTTGAAGGAGGTTATTAGTTATCAAAGATTTAATGAGATATAGCTCAACAAATTCGCAACTGAATTTTTGGGCTCGTAGTCCCCTACTCAACAGTACATCACTTTACAACTAACTTTGAACGTTTCATTACTTCTGCGTTTGAGGTTAAAAATTTAGCCGTCTTGGTCAAAGACCAACCTAAACGGAGAACAGCCGGTCGTCTTATGCTTGGTGATGTTAAATACAAGTTCAATTTTCCAAATTTTGTTCGGCCAATCTGCAGCTGATTTAGATTCAACGCGTAATAAATTACTAATAGTTCGCATAAATGGTTCGCTTGGCCATTGAAGCGGTGAGTGCCTGGATGTCTCAACTATGCCATATTGCTCAACAATTTCTTTGAAAATCTTGGCGGTGACAAGCGTTATTTTACAGAGAAACTGACTTTCAACAACTTTACAGGTTGTAAAGCGTTACTTTACAGAGAAAATTGCTTTCAACAACTCCACAGGTTGCTAAACGTTACTTTACGAAGAAACTGACTTTCAACGACTTCACAAGTTGCAAAGCGTTACTTTACGGAGAAACACTGCTTGATCATCATCAAATTTCTCTGGATCATCATCAATTTTTTTGCAATAAATTCTACAACCTCAAGAAAATTCAAATTTACGTTTTAAATTTTCCTAATGGCTATATCCGCACAGATAATTACAAATACTAATAATTTAATTAATCTTTTTTTTTACAAAATCAGCTTGCTTTCTACTACGTTCATAGTTTCCGATCTTTTTACAAATTTTTCGGAACGTCAAGTAATACTCATAGATTCAGTCAGCGTTTGAATATCTCGACTATAGTGTCATTTATTCTTCTTAACAGATAAATCGAAGACAAACCTTGTAAACAAACAATGTAAATTTAAAACACTACTAACGCATCTTTCAATTTTACACATTACCTCGAAAAATACTTTTTTCATCAAACGGTTAATATATAATTGCATTATCACAGTTTCAAGTAATTATCGTAGAAATTAATACCTCTATAACATGTAGTTTTTCTAAACTTTCTGTGATATCTTTTTACTAAAACCGTCGATTAAAAGTTTTAAAAATTCTAAACTCTCATGTCGACATTTAAAACGATACACTGTATTTTTTTGTAACAATGCATTTTAAGCATTTAACAGAATACTTCTTAACAAATTGATCCATGAGTAGAAAATAAAAATAATGGTTTAGTTCACAAAAGACTTTTCTTTCAGTTGCAACATAACATTGCTTGTCGTAAAACAATCGCCTAAAAAAAGAATTCGCCACATTTTTTTTCTAAAAGAATATTATTTTGACAAAAATGAGCGTTAGCTAATTTATTTTCATTTATCTTAAGTTTCGGTGACATATTTCTGTTATTTTTTTTTTCACCAGTTACCCTGTAGGCCATGTTGACAAACATTTTCAATTCGATTTCAGCTGAATAGTCGGCACCGTTGAAAAATAACACCCTTTTAGTATTTAATACTAAAATTATTAACTCATCAATATTCATGTCTCAACTCTCAAAATAAGATCGTATTTTTGTTTGTGACAATTTTAATGGATTATAGTCAAACATAAGCTTGAAATCGATACACAAAAGAAAAGTGTACAAAAATATTTGACTTCATAAAATACTGCCAAAGCACCAAATATTAAGACCAGTCGTCAGGGTTTATTTAGACGTGCGTTGAGAAAAATATATAACATTTAACTGATAAGTTTCTTAGCGCTGAAATCCAATAGCTCTGGAATCGACAGAACTGGCTTCGCTTTGTCTAAAAATGCCGTAACACCAGCCTTTCTTGTGTTTTTCTTCAACCTTTCTAACAAATAAATTTTATCATAAAACTTTTAATTAGTTTTGTAATACAATCGATACCTGATAAAATATCGGGGATATATATATTTTTTTTGAAAATAATATGCCAATCGAATAAACTGTTTTACTAATACTTGTATTCACACTGTTCACTAACATTTTGACCTTATTGCCCACAAAAATACATTTTTTTATGTGATAAAAATACCCTTACAAGGAAATCTCGGCTTAAATCTTGGAATAAAACTCGGCTTAATTTTTTTTTAATCAACTTTAATCTATTTTTCCATTGTATGTAGTTAAAAATTATTCAATAATAATTAAACAAGTAGTTTCTAAATCATAACTTCTTTAAGGTTTAATACTAGGAACTATTGAAAATTGGTTTGAATATGGCAACTAAGACTATAAAACTACAGAACTCTACTAAAACGACGGAGCTATAAATCTAAAATTCTGTTCTAAAACCTATATCATTATCCTGGTTAAAATAACTTTATTTTTCGCAAATTTAACGGTGTTAACTACGTATTTTGATTTTAAATATAACTAAACCTTTTCTCAATATTTGCTGACAATAAACGGCATTCCTCTTAGTATTTTTACCTTAATAAGTTCAATTAAATCAGCATCTGAACAATTAGCACGGAAAAAAAATTAATTTCTCAAGTTTTATGCGTGCGTACTCAACGTAACTATGAGTATGGCAACTTTAAAATTGATCATGGGCTTACCCAGATTTTATTTTTTTTTGTTTCGGAAAAGCAGCTGAAAAATATGTTTTAAAATTTTCCCATGTATCGTGAGCGGGTTTCCATGCCATAAAACATCGTTAGCAGATTTAAGTAAAAATGGGCAATTCTACTTACGGTTTCCCGATCGGACCAATCAAATTCAGTTTTTTTTTACCAATCTATTTTTACAAACCAGCAAACCATTCATATAGGCACAGTTTCCAATGCCGTTGAAGATCGGCACAGATTCGCTAGCAGCACACACAGCTATTGTTAATTTAATTAGTACAAAGTCACATAAAATCCAAAGGCACACGAAAAGCACCCGGGTCTATTACCCCACACCTGATGTTAGATTTTTCGCGTGGAGGAACCAAAATAAGGAGGCTCCAGTTTCAGGTCTGTAACCTGACTGACCCAGACTCCTTTTCCCACCAAAAATATGCCTTCCTCATCAATACTCGTGAACGTCGCCAGACGGACCTAATCACTTTTTATAAACAATAACACATCGTATCAATTTCAAACCATGCCGCATTTACCTACTTAAAAATGGTCTCGTGATAAATAAATCTAACAGTACAAAGGTTAATAATCTTGGATAAAAAATGTTTAAAATAACAATTTTAATGCTTCTTTTCTCCAAGCATATTTAAGTTCCAGTATTTTGAGAAAATATATAGAATTGACATAGCGCCAAGAAGGATTTAAATGTTATAGTTTTTTGGGGTTTACTCTAAAGGCCAGCTATTTTTAACACTTGCATAAATATACTGAAACATATAAAAGTCTTATAACTTAGGATTATAGACGTCATCTATAATAAGCCATATTAATTTAATACTTGTCTATATTTTTAGTTGGGACTCTAAAATATTTATTTCATTTATATTCCGTTAAAGTTTGCAAGTGAAATCTTAAACAAGATTCACTAACGTAAGTTATATGATACTAATAGTAACGTGGGCTTAGAATAATGATTTATATTTAGATTATAATATGTATATATTTTTTAATAATGCTAACACGATTGTTTTTATGTATCTTTTGTTATTTTTTATATATGTATATGGTTTAAAGCACCTCGTTTAAAGAACCTCGAAATTAGTGGTTTCAATTAGCGTAGAAGTTTGCTCCTTTAATTTCAATGTAATCATTCAGAACGTCAAAATTAGTGTTAGACATTTTCAATTAGTAGAAAAAGTTATCAAACTTTTAACTTTTCCACTAATTATACTTCCAAATTTCCGAGAAATCTCATTTTGGCCTTTGATTATCTTCCATCAAGAGAAATTGTGGTTAGAAATCAAAAGTTGTTTGCTTTATAAAAATATTAGGCTTTCTCTATTGCTCTGTTGCTAGAATATTACTATTAATTTTAATTGTGTTTTTTAAACATTGCGAATGATCGTAAACTAAAAAGTATAAGAGATGTAATTGAAACCACTAATTTATTCCACTAATTGCGAGGTCCTGAATGAAGCTTTACACTTTATAATTAAAAATTTACTATCGTTCACATGTCTAAAAAATTCAATTAAAATTAATAGAATATCCCAACAACAGCTTGCGGTAGTCCCACTAATTTTGACGTTCTGAAGCTTACATTGATATCAGAGGAATAAACTTCTACCCTAATCGAAACCACTAATTTATCCCATTAATTTGGAGGTTCTGAATGAATTTTAAGACTATTTTATATGTATATCTATGAGTTTAATAAATAGGTGTACATATATTGATTTTATAGGTTATGTGAAGTCCTGTATTAAATAATTATTAACAGAAGAATGAGTTATTAAACGAACCTGTATATATTTTAAAGCAATTTCTATAATGCCAATCCGCACCTTCTTCAATTAGCTGTTCCGATCTTGACAAATTCCTTTTAATCAAATCCAAATCGTTGAAAAACAAGCCTATTTTGATACAGTGAAAGACGTTGTCAAGTTTACAGCCTAAAGCAACTGTGTGGTCGTACGCTTGTGCTAAGGTTTTTATTGTATCATCTTTGTTGCCTATCTTACTTAAATATGCGGCTTTATTGACGTAAGCTACTTTTATATCGATAGTTCCTAAATTGTTTTGGGCGTATTCGATTTCTGATTCGAGAGATTCCAGTGCTTTTTTATTAGCTTCTTGCATTTCCTAGAAAAAAAATGAGTTCAATATTAGTATGATAGGGTATGATATTTACATAGAAAATTTGAAGTAACGAGACAAACAAAAGCCATCGACTCTGTGAACAGAGATGTATTTTGGGTAATTATGAAAAAGTTCGGAGTACCCAACAAATTTCTTACAGTGTGTAAAAGCCTCCATAGCAACAACAAGTCAAGAGTGTCACGTCATGGATCGCCTGAGCGATCCCTTTCTAACAAATACAGGAGTTAGACAGGGATGTGTCTTAGTACCTCTCATATTCAACATATCCATGGCAGCGCTCTCCATTATAGTAGACAGCAAACTGCAGGAGAGAGGATTGGGCATTAGATACAGATACGAAGGCGGTCTGTTCAACATAAAAAAACTCAGGGCAAAAACACGCACAAAATTTATCACATAACTTCAATACGCTGATGACTGCGCTCTAGTTTCAAAAACGTTACAGTAATTACAAGAAATGTTGAACACATATACCTGGGTATACTAGGCTTTGGACCTTAGGCTGAACATCGACAAAACTAAAATCATTTGCTCTCCCCCGGAAGATCACAACAATGCTATAAAAATCGGAGAAGAACAATTGGAATATGTAGTTAGTTACAACCTAACGGAATTCAACCCCAAGAGCATTCTGGAAATTAAAAGACAGGATTTTTTACAATCATGACTTGAGTTTGCTTGAGCACAAAAACGAAACTTACAGTGTACCGGGCAGTAATAATCCCCACCATGTTATATGAAAGCGACACCTGGGTGCCGTACCGCCGACACATTAACGCATTAAACAAGTTGCAACAGAGACACCTTACTTGCGAATCAAATGGTTCCATCATGTCTCAAACGTATCGTCCTTGAAAAAACTAACTGCGAGAATATTGAAGTCATGGTTACAAAATCCCGCTTAAGATGGGCTGGTCACGTATGCAGAATACAAGAAAACGGCATACCAAAATCTCTGCTTTACGGTGAGCTTGTAGACGGTAAGAGGAGGTCGGGTGGACAACTCAAAAGGTACAAGGATATTTTCCATGAAAACTTAAAGGGGATTAGCATGCAGATTGAGTGGGAAGAAGCAGATCACAATAGAACGCTATGGAGAAGAATTGTAAACTCAGTTAACAGCGACAACCAAAAATTAAAGAGGCAACAAAGCAATGAGATCGGGCCTTTCAGTTATGATAGAAAATACCTGCGTGACCATCGTCTGATTCGTGTCAAATACTCGTCAGCGAATAATGGCAGTAGTAGTAGTAGTACATTTAGAAGACATTTTGTCTCTCCAGTATACGCTTCCCTGCACATTCATAAGGTACCTGGTAAATGATGTACTTTCTCTCTTGTTTCGATGTTCCGAGTCTCGTTGAAAATATCAATATTCGGAGTTGTTAAAATATGAATATAGAGAAGAATTATTAATATTTATTTATTAATACCTTTAGCATATTCTTATCGCGTTTCCATTTTAATTCTTCATACACCCTCTCATAATACGGCGCCATTTCATCATTTTTAATCCATTCTACTAACTTGTTTTTCTTTTCCTCGTCATTTGCATATTCCGGAAGAGTTAACAAAAATTTCAGTCTGGCAATTTCAAAGTTGGGGTTTTTATCTTCACCGTCTTCATCTTGCCAAGACGTGGGGTCGATCAAATCGTTACAAATAGCATCGTAAAATACAGCATCGTCACTTTGAGAATTTCGTACGGTTTCCATTCGGTCGATCAGCAACCAGATGAACCAAGAGGAACGCGATTACTTGCGCTCGAGTCGATAACAAAAATATATTATTTGACATTGATTGATGGATTGATTATGATTTTGTGCGCGTGTCAAAAAGAAATTGGCGTAGGATGTTGCAGAGATGTAGTGTAATTTGAAATTAAATTAAAGGCACAGAACATTTTACGTTTTCTTTTGTATTTTTTTTTGTGTTTAATCTTTTGTAATAAAGGTCAGTAATTTCTATTTTTTTTTCTATATAACACTCTGTTTCATAATTAGGCGCTATATCATCATTTTTTTCAAACAGTTTCCGAAAAAATACAGATATTTATATTTAAAAATTTGGTGTAAAAAAGGGGGTGAAATAAAGGAGAAAAAGAGCATCTTGTTTTCAGTCATTCGGTAGATATGTAAATCACATATTAGTATCTTTGAATAAAAAGTCGATAAAGGGTCTAATATTATTTTATATATTCATGTATTAGTGATTCAAGAAATGAGATAAATAAAAGAATAATTTTTCACTGGTTAATAACTAAACAATCAATCAAGTTACGTGTAGTACACTATAATCCCATAAACATTGAATGTCAAAAAATGCCAAGTCTGGCAAAACAATTCCTCCGCTATAAAAAGTTGTGAGATCTCATGTAAAACTATATCTATAACTAACTATCAATATTAGTCATCTTTATTTCTATAATTATTATAATCACTTGGCAATTGCATGCACGGCACCATAATTATAAAAAAGAATAATCTACTATTTCGATTACTAAGTAAATCTTAAGATGCACTTAAGAATATTTTTGTTTTTAATTACTGTAGAATATCATATCGGGCAGCAATCAAAATGTTTAAAACAATCCTATCACCGGTCCTCCTATTACCATCACCTGGAAGTCGGTTACCACTGGCGACTAGACAGCCAACTTTTGAGCCATAAGGATATTTCGCGATTTTTAATTTTTTCCTTCCATTATAAGCTTAAAGCTACCTAAAATTCAAAATTTGAAGTTTGTGACACATCTAGAAGTACTTTAGAATTTTGATGACGGCGAGTGAGTCACTGGCGAAGTTAAAGATCGGATATCCAGAACTAGCCTCTGTGAAGCAGTCTCAAATATTGCCTTTTGTCAAAGCCCTGAGACTGTATACAAGAGTTATAACTCGTTATAACTCAAGAAAGGGGAACATACAATAGATCTGTATAAGGTCGCGGTGATTAACTCCCCTCCTAAACATTCTACATTCTAAAAAACCCTATTTTCTGACTAAATAGAGCAAAACCAACATACATGTCATGGACTCGATTTCTGAGACATGTTTAATGTCATAAACAGCTTTTCGATATTTTCACTGCCAACTGAGATACGGGGTCTTTTTGAATTTTCGAGCGTTTTCAACTTTATAGAGAAACACACGGTATATGTAACTCGGCTTGGAAAATTGTAATTAATAAGTAAGTCATTTCGAATGCAAGAAGCAAACATGTTAATGGTATTTTCATTATTCTTACGTAAATTTTTGGGTTAACAGTGGCCGAAAATAAATGAAGAATTCGGTAAAAAACGGGTAATTACCTTTTTAAATTACGTTATTACCGTTGTAAGGCCAAACAGCCGTCTCCGAATGATCTATCGAAGCACTTCGACTTAATAATATTGGAAGCAAACATGTAAACGATAAATTATTTTTAGCCGAGGCTTTAGTCCATTTACGGTTGTCAATTAATTTCGGCGAAAGCGTAAAAAATTACTTCTTCTTTGGCGTTTTATTACGCGCCGGATTTTAAGTATAGCGGGTCGGATGTACAGATTGTCCTAAAAACACGCACAGCTAATTTACGGGTTATTACAGTTTTACACCCTGCAATTTATTTGTCAAATTAATTTGTACAAATATCGTACATTTTATTTTGTAGTGTAAATGAGTTTATAGACCGAGAGCTGGCTACATAAAAAACTAATCGTTACATGGCTAATTTTAACATTGAAAATGTTTCTGTTATCCTATATAAGGGAGCCCAAATCGAATTAAAATGCTACATTTGCCACACCATGACGTCATATATACAAGGGTATAGGAAATCTCGGCGCAGCGGCGGCAGTCGGCCAGCGCGCGCAAAAACCATTACATCGCTAATTGTTTATTGATATATCTTTATTAGTTTAAAAGCAAAAAATATGGGGTTTGCTTTGATACATTGTCAAGACATATGTGAAACTTTTAAATTGTTTCTTTTTTTCATTTAGGCCTTCGTTTTTCGTTAAATGAAAGTTATATTAAAAAAATCTATTTTTAAACCAAATTTTCGCATGATTGAAATGATTATTCATGTTTAAAGTTTTTTTTGGTCATAAGCGCTAATGGAAATGTTTTTTGTAAATAATTATAAAAAATTACTCCCTACGAAGACTTTATTGTGTACTGGATCAAAAATAAGTATTTGTTTTCTCTATACGGTGGTATTAATATATCGATTTTTGATGATAGTGCCCTTTACCCGGTCTAATTTTTGTACTACTTTCGGAATAAGGGTCCCCATATCATGTACTGTACTTCCATCCCTGAAAAATTCAGCTTGTGACACCGAAGTGAGAGGTAACGTCAAAATAAGCTTTAATCTACCTACATCATAGGTAGGTGTAGGTTCTCTAGGTATATTCTACCTAGACAGTAGCTGAACTAGCTGACAGTAGTAATTAATTTGTTATCCGATAAGTAGTTGTCATTATATAAGTTTAATCATCTTATACCTCCTATAACGGTAGGTTTTGGATTTTTCCTGATTGGTTTGTTAAACAAAAAATATACTGGGCATATAAATGTCTGTTACAGGTTAATTCGTTAAAGAAATATGTTACGATATTGGCGAGTCTGAATATTTATAAAAATTTGGAAAGTAAAATATGTTGGAAAAATATTTAATCCATACATATATAAAAGCTCAAAGGTTTTTGTTGCATCCATCCCGCCGAAACCGCTTTACCAATCTTGATGATTCTTTTTTAAAATGAAAGGTATATATGTGTAGATTTGTTATGAAGTATTTTTATAGTACTTAATGGCTATTTCTTTGTGTAAAACGACTAAATACTAAAATATACCTGAAAACCCCTACACACAATACCTCCAGAAATAAATTATTTGTCATTGTCAGTGGTGTGTCAGTTAGATTATATATTAAGTTTTTAGATATTTTAGAGTGAGTTAATATTGCCGCCAGCAAGCGATTTTAGGAAATTCATCCTCTTAGAGAGTAAAATTATCTTTGTTGAACAGTTTGTTGTATGAAAATTCCTTACTATTTGGTCTAGAAGAATGAAATCCTACAAAAAGAATTAGAAGAAATTTTTGAAATTCATCAAACAAATGGGGAATGTTCGTAAAAATTTATATAAAACTTGGTGACCTCTGGATTATACACATAAAAATTGGCACAAAGGTAAAGCGAATTTATGAAATTTATACCCTTAGGGAGTAGAATAGGGAATGAAAGTTTGCTGTACGAAAATGCAATACTATAACATTATAAACCAGACAGTATAAAATTTTATACAAGGGTTTATTTAGTGACATCATAACGAAATATATCTTTCTCAATTATCTTTCAAAGAATAAAAAAAATAACCTATAAAGAGAGTATTAGTGCTCTTAATAAATAAAAAAAGATGAAAAATAAAAAACATCTATGCTTACTAGCTCTCTATAAAGAAGTAAAAAAATCATTTAAATCAATGCATGAACGATTCGAGGTGTAACGCGAACGTAGTCGCGAGAAAAAGCTTAGTAATTTATTAAATTATTTTATTTAACTCATTAATTTTCATTGAAAAGGAATTTTTGTAATTCGCCACTATATTAGTTAAAAACTAAGAAACTCATATCAAATTTAAGTTTTGCGATTTTGACTTATACTTTTTACAAAATCTGAACACATTTTAAAAGAAAAAAGTTTTTGATAATATTTGTGTAGATTGACTACAAGTTGTATAACATAAATTTCTACGACCGGTCTACCTAGTGGTCTGCTTGTGGTGCAAACGTGGGCCTGTTAATCTGTGACGTGACGCACAACAGCCAAGAAAAACAGAAGCGTGGCTAAGAATTTAGTAATTTAAAAAAAAGTCTTTTAGATACAGTAGTAGGTATTAAAAAGTTTTGTGTTTAAATGGGGTTTTCCTTTAACAGTTAAAAAATTATATCGTAAAGTGTAACTTTCCGTAAGAATTCTTTATCTGTGATTGATCATGATCTGTCATCATGTTAACTTGATGTTTTGTATGTTATTTCGTTTTTTTCGAGGTTTTTTTGCTTGCTTGTTTTACGGATAGGTGCGATTGCATAATTTTTATTGATAATGTTTTATTTAATTTTAACATTACTACTTTTTCAGTGAATCTTTAAATCTGTTGTTTTTTTTTAAGTTCGTTATTTAAACATATGTATGTAATACACTCATATTAACAATAATCATATTTTTACGTTTTTATTCATCATTTTCAATGCCCCCCCGGTTGCATCTTTGTAAAGGACTGTGAATTTTTTGTGTGAAGTATCCTTTTGTGTAGCCATTGTGAAATAGTCATGTCTGCCAGCGCGATCCCGGGGCTTAAAGCGGGGGCGACCAATCGACAGGGTGATATTTTGACACTAAAAATGTTATAAGGTACACGAGTTATAATTGCCAAATAGCTTTTATTAGGAAACGTGTAAAATTGTTGACAGACATTTTTCTCGTGGCCGGCAGACAACGCGAAAGAGGCATAGAATTTTGACAAAAGAAAATCATCGCATAGGGGAATTTCGCTTAAAATGACATATGCGGGTAAAATGACATACTGCCCAAATTCAAATTTCCCGCGATACTACTGGTGTTGTTCTATCTCTACTTCTTCCTCACATGTGCGTCACGTGACACACTTAATACGGGATGTCAATCAGTTGGCTTGTAACTTTTAGACGAGTATATGTGTTTTGAGTCAGAAGCAGTTTTTTAGTAGAGTTTCGTTTTTCGTATTTTCAAGTTAATCGTAATTTTTTTGGAAGTTATTATTACAAGGCAGGTAAGTTCCATCCGT